CTGCTCACACTAAAATAATCTAGATGGTTTTAGCACTGCAGGCCAGAAGAGAATACACATAAACATAGGGGAAGCATGTTGCGGCTGAACAAAGAGCCATTAGACAGAATACACCAGGTTTTATGATCATATAAAAATGTGGACATTACACCGCGCTTTATTGTTTTATGCGATTTAACAATGCCTTTTGTACGCTGTGGCTGCAGCTATTCTTTTGATACCTGTGCAGCAGCAGAACTAATTAGCCAAATAATGAGTATCGCTGGTTTAATTTTGGGTACCTGGCTGGCAAAGAAATGCCCACTGATTTTCACAAAGACCTCGTCGTTCTCATCAGGAGTTTGGTCCCGCGGTACGATGACCTCCGCGCTCGTAAGGTTCTGCAACTCGTTTACCTGAAACACCGACACAGACTCCTGTTATCACAGCCTCACTTTGAATTTTACCTCCAACCTCTAAATTGTGTTTAACTGAAACACCCCTTGAAGCCAATAAGTAATTGCAGTAAACACCAGTACGTGAAACTCTCACAGATAAAAGTTTTATCATGTAAACATAACTAGCTCATTTAAATAAAAAGTTGGAGCAAGGCATTGTTGTTGCTGCAGTTTAAAGGACAATTCAAGCGCATGCTTACCGTCTTACCACCTTTACCGATGACCCTGCCAGCTGCACTTGAGGGAACCTTTATGTGCGTCTCCAGTTTGACCTCCTCCTTCGCAGAGAAGAAGTTTTCCTCTTTCAGCTTTCCAAATATCCGACCTTGGGCCTGGAATACAGAGGAGGGAATGAGGCAAGGAGAGACTGGGGAAAATGGGGACAAACAATGATCCACTGCTGTTATGAAAACTATTTATGAAGTTAATCCCCCCTCAAAAATTATTTAACACAAAGATTCATGCACATATGCAGGTTTTACCTTAAACTGAGCTTCTGGTGTTCCAGTAATGATGACCATCCTCTCAGTAACATCTGGACTCTCAGCCGGAGCGATCTGACATGCACAGAAAGACACAAATCAGATTTCTAGCTTCTGAACAAATTCATGCAGTATGAGATCATGTAAAGCTTGTGGCCAATAAAATCATGAGAAGAAAATCCCACAAATATATTGAATGCAACTGAAGAATCCAACAAAATGAATTGTCTCTGATTGCATTATCTGAAATGTTTCTCTTCTTTTTCAACATTTTGAAATATGGAAATTGCTCCACCCCAGATCCATGAAATGCTGCTGGGTGAATGATGAGTTGAGGTTTATTTATAAAAAAAAATAAATAAAAAAAAAGACACTCGCTCATTAGATTACCGACACTCCATCCTCCTCTTTCCCCTTTCCTACTGAGCACACTGTTGACAGGCAACAAACGCACCTTGATGGAAGCTCCGGCAAAGTGGGCAAGTTGTTTGATGTGCTGACCCTTCTTGCCGATCAGGGCCCCGACTGCCTGAGTTGGAATAAAGAGGTAGACAACCTCCTGTTCTGGAGCCTGTTGCTGAAAAAGGACCACACAGAAAAGAAAACATTTAAAGTACTTTTATTAAACTTTACTATTTATTTGACTGTGAAAGAAAAAAAATGATTCAAATTCAAATTGTCGCAAAAACGGTTTTGAACACACTTGACAGATACTTGAAGAACGGCCGAAAAAGCTGACACCACATGCAAGGGAGGCTAAATTAAGCCCTCTTTGGGTAAACATCGCCCTCTGGCCACGTCTGAATGGAATATTTCCTATTAGGGGTGATGCCTGCCCTGTGTTTTTGTTTTTCTTAGCATGGTAACACTCATGTAGTTGAGGTTTATAAAGTGAATTTTTACGAGCCACGGGATAACTCTGGGCTAAAAAGTCCCCTTCCAGGAATATTTGTGGTGTTCTGGTGACTGGGTGATGGTAAACAGGAATCCAGACTCTCTGTCCTACACAGACGCTGACTGAGGCGTTCTAACGGTCTGCTATTTACAAATCCACCTCATTTAGATCTGCCTTTATCGGTTTTACAGCAGGGTTCATGGTTTTACCTCCCATGCATAGAAGCTATTTGCAGAATCCACACAACCAGAAGAAATGTAAATCCTAAAGGGCTCTCTTTTCCAAAACATGGATTTCACCTGTTTTTGATTATTAAAGCAATCATCTATTAGGACAAACAAAAAACAAAACAAAACAAAGGATTCAGAGAGGAAACACTGACTGTAGTGCAGATTTGAGGGAACATACTGAGTGCTGGTGGGGGATGGCACTTGCTGGAGGAACCCCATACAGGCCACTGAGATGTGAAGAGTGACTCTGAAAGTGAAGTGACAAGCATGCCTATCAGATGGCATGTTAACACACATGTTAAAAGGCACAGGCACGAACACAAGTCAAGCTCTTTCTTCGGGGGGAATTTCAGGGTAGAAACTCGCAGTGAATCACACACTGAGTGTCTTGACTACGAAGCACGCACATGCATTCTCACGCACTGTCTCACGCCGCTTTGGCTCGCGCTCGTCAGGCAATGAGTGGAGACTTTGTTTTACTGACAGACTGACTCATCTCTGGAGAAGATGGGGGAATTCTGGTTGCTTCAAACTGTGTACAAAATCATGCAGGAAGACCTGAGTCAACACTGTAGTGTATTTTAAAAATGCACTTCAGAGGAGCCTGGTTTACCAAGTGTTGGAGATAAATTGCTTTATCAAGTCAATCTTTATCATGCACTTGATGTGGGTAAACCAGCAAAGGCAAAGTCATGCTCAAAGAAGCATTTTCAAAAATAACTTTTTCTTCCCTTTTATGGCCATGCGCTCAGGTAGTCTGTGGGAAAAGGGGAGGGGGGACCAAAAAACCCTTCCCCCCCCCCAAAGAAAACAGAGGATACTCACTAAGAATGGGTTGTACCCTGCTGGCGCCACAGCAGGCACAGCGCTACGTGGTCCAGCAGCAGGGGGAAGCACCGGCAGACCCGAGGAGAAGATGCCCAGAGCGTTCAGGTTCAAGCCCGGGATCAAGTTGGCCTGTTGCTGAGCGGACAAAAAAAAGAAGTGGCAGTGGCAGAGTTTTAAAAAGTTATCACAACAGAAGACAATTGCTTGGCGTTTAATTAATGCGATTTTTTTTTTTTTTTAAAGAAGCTGATCAGATTTTAACTTTCATTTAATATCCAAAGCATGCAAAACAAAAAGAAAAAACACTGCAGTGATCTTGGAAAAAACATAAGTTGAAGAAAGATGAAGAAAACATACCAAACACAAATGACTTGTCCAATTAAGCTCATTTTAAACTTTTTTCTTAAAGTTAATAATGCAAGCAATAAACAACAATTTTTCAATATAATAATAATAACAACTCTGAGCCTTTTATTTAATCTGATACATTAAAGTTGGTCACAAGCACAAAAAATATTTTCTGTTCTCACATCACTTCAAAGAACACCACATTTGTGCTGACAAATAAGGATGCAGAGCTGGAGGAAGTATTCAACAATAGTTATGATGACTGAGGAAATGTCTGAATAATTTATCAATGAAAAATATGTCCTACACGTTATTAATTATTACCATAATAATAATGACATACTCTGCAAAATCCTCTTCATTTATTGATAATTAAAATACTGTTTAGCTGCATGTCTCGTTGTGTCAACTGCCCACAGGGTTTTAAAGAAAAAGCGAAGGAATAAATCTTCCTCTAGGGGTTTGGAAAAATCTTCTACTGCATGAGCTACATTACAATAAAAAAACCACTAAACTTTAAAAAATGCTTGTTGCAAGCTTAAAATTGGTCTGTTTTCTTAACTCCTTAAAAAGATCATGCTCCTGTGGTACATGGTTTTTACAAGAGAGATGTTGTAAAAGCATAACCAAAAAAAAACAAAAAACAACAAAAAACAAAAAACAAAAAAACAAACCCAAAACAAACAACAACAGAAAGAAAAATCTTCCCCCAAAGGCAAGTCAGCTATTCTGGTTTCATGGCCATGACAAGACAGGACTGCCTCCTTTCACTTCCTTTATCCCAGAACGCTCTCTGTAATATCCAGACTGTCACGCTAGATGGCCCTAAATGCTTACTGTAGAGCTGACACTCAACCTGACAGGTGCCAGAACTGCTCGTACCATTCAGAACAACATGACAGCACGCTGCGTTATGATTATTTCTGAACAAATATTGAGACTGTCACTGTGAAGAAAAAACTAATCAACTAATGCGCTAAAGGGAAAGAAACCAACTAATTCCGTGTTACTACACGAGTCACATTCTGAGGAGCATCGTCATCGTTAATACAGTCACTTTATCAGCATTCATCTCTTTGCAGTACAACAGAGAACATGCAGAGTGTGCCATCATGGCTATCGCTCTTCCTCAGAGGATGACCTCTCAGGCTGCACCGCTGGTGATGTCATTGGGGCAGTGTGAAAGAGGAGCTGGGCGAGAGGGCGGCCTGCACATATCAGGTGGATGCTGGGAAAAGCAGTGTGTTACAGCAGTAACACAGACACATACACAGCGGGGAACTAAGTGTGAGTCAGAAGCTCCATGAAAGAGGCAGACACACACACACACACACACAGAGCGCTCAAACACTCGACTCACTGATGAGCTGTCCAGCGATCGTTTACTGTTATCCATTTACCAAGCTGGTATTACTAATGCTGGCGCTAACATGCGCTGAATGGGAAGGCAATATTATCCCGCCGTATATCATCGCTTCTCTCTGTTGTTCACCTGTCAGTCTGTGTGAGTCAACATACTAGCACATACTAACACAAACAATCAGGAGGCCTGCAGACGGTACCCTCAAGACTTACATTTATAGCAGCAATATCATTCTCGTAGGCTTCCCTCAGCTTCTTCATGATTTCCATCTCAGCTTTACAACACGCATCTACGCTGCCCTTCACCGTGATGGTCCTCTCAGGGTTGTAAATAGTTAAGTCTTGTAACCTGAAAGGAAAATCACACACACACAGACAGACAGACACAGAAATGATTACTGTATAGACGTGCAGAGGATTCTCAAAACAGATTTAAAAGAATAATGATATATTTAGGTTCTGACTAAGTTTCCACAGGCTGGATACTACATTTCCCATAATGCAACTCAGCTGTGTCTTTCAACATGCTGCATTCACGTCATACAGGATGGATGGCAGTGAAGAGAAGCTTCCAGCGTTGTTAATAATAACTTGGCCGAGTGAGAGTTAAACTGCACTGACAGTAAAACAGAATATCAATTAAATTTAGGTTTAACGCTGAACGACATATATTGGCTGACATGTTTTGTTTGTTTTTAGATTCTTGTTTATTACTAATATAACTCAGTCAAGAATATGGGAGCTTTAAAAATGCAGTTTTGACTTAGACTATGATTCACACGTCAAAAAAGACAGATACGATGATTTGTAGTCATGTTCCAACTATGCTCTGGGTTTAAAACATAGCATCTGATACATTTTCACTTCACCAGATTCTAAAAGAGACATTTTTGGAAATGCTGTCAACAAAAACAAAAGAGGTCTGCATTTCAGACTGGACGTTTTTTTAAACCACAAGAGACATCACACTTTGTTTCCTGATTGGGTCTTGTTGGTCACACGGTGGTCCGTCACAGACTCATCACGCACCTACCAGTCACATGACCCTTTCACAGAAGACAACAGCTTATACCACAACATGCATGGATAATGCTATGTTAGCACCTGATTTAAATCAAATCCTGCATTTTACATTACGTGAACAGTGTAATGTGACATACTGTTCACATTTCAGGCTATTGAAAAAGTCTATGTCACTTTAAACTACTACTGCTTAATTCATGTTACTCCTTTAATTCTCTGTATTCTGGCCACACATTCCCTGAAACCTAGCGCCATGTGGCAGCAACTCAGACCTCAACTAGTGTGACAGGTCGGTTTGGTTGCAACACAAAGATAATATGTCAGCGAAACAAAACAAAACAAAACAAAACAAAACAGGTAAAGCAAACGTTAGTGACCTGCCAGTGTGCTCACATGCCATTTTTTCTTGTTCCACAGCTTTGACAGAAGTGCACACACTGTCTGTTCTGAAGTCTTTTCATTTCCCTCCCTTTCAGTAATTGACTGTTGTTTAAGATATATTAGCTTAACGCCTGACATGATCAGCTCAGGTTTCACTCGCGATGGCGGAGCACTGCAGACACATCAGCACATGAGCATAAATGCAAACAACTATGTCGCCCACTACAGCAGAGGCTCCGCAGGGATCCAACGCAATGCTATAAATTAAGCTCAGCGAGTCAAGTGGATTAGCAGCAGAGGGACTTACATATACAAATGGAAGCCAAAAGAAGCAACAGTGTGATTGATGTTTTTCTTTTATTTGTGCAACAGCCAGATAATGACTTAATTTGTACATTTCAATGTTAACCTGAGGAATATGAAAGGAAAAAATTCTTATGTCTATGGTGACCTGTTATCTTGAAAGCTGCTGGCAAATTTTTGAAATTCAAGGTGTCTGATACTCAGCTGAACCGGCACCAATGAGATAATACTACTCTAAAAAGTCTGTTACATGAATCAAAGACGCAAAGCCCCATAGACCAGTTATCCTGGACATTACACAAATGTTAACACCTCGGGGCTTTTGAAGCTCAAACTCTCTGCACTCTGTTGGTGAACACAGTTGACACTGCAAAAAGACTTAACAGAACCATCAATTCTGAATCTACTATTTGAGCTTCTCAAAAGGGCTCTAGCCCGCTCTTCCTCCACCTCGACGTCTCTTTCTCAAGGCTCATTACATTCTCAAAGCTCGCAGACACAGAGCAATTCATTAGCAATAAATGAAAGAAGGTTGGGGAGCACAGTCCGTTAAATGGGGTGCAATCACTACCTCTCTAATATCATGTTCTGAAAAGAAAAAGCTGTAATCGAATCGCACGTTACTTCTCTAACAACTCTGTTAAGTGTAACCACATGCCGAAGGGTTAAGGAGCACAGACGAAGGAGGTTACAGTGAAAAGGGCTTGAAATCACTGTCTGTTATTTGTGATTTGGTTAAATCAGCGACAGTAAAAATCTTTGATCTCACTCAAAACATAGATCCACTGAGGAGAATTGCAAATATGAGAGGTTAAACATGTGTAAGAGCACCATAAGCAAGTTAAAAGCTGGACTTACGAGGAGATGGTTATCTTGGTCCCTGTCTCCTCCTCGATCTTCTTCAGGTTGCGACCCTCTTTGCCAATCAGCCGACCCACAAGGCTGTTGTGGGCAAGGATTTTCAGAGGGATGTCCTCCGTCCTACACACACACACACGCACACACGCACACACGCACACACACACACACGCACACACACACACACGTGTAAGGTGATATACTAAAAGGTAGGTGCTACAGAGTATCACCTATGAGCTATGATATGGTGTCATGCAGAATGCAGAAAGGTTAATGCTGACATGCCTCTGTTACAAAGTGTATTGTTCTATGAAAAACAAACCTGTGCTGATGTTAATTTTACTATTCAAAAACTGCATTTCACAGACAACTCCAGGCTCCATCCCCTCGAGCTAGCAGCACCTCGCAATTTGTGTGTGTGAGTGTGTGAGAAAGAATGAAAAGTCACTTTAAAGGGCTTTGTAAAACTTAGATATTGTTAAATGGTGCAAAATCAGTGCAGACTATTTCCTTGAAACTGAATATTCTCTCCTGGACCTTTGTGTTTCGCCAAAATTGAATGTGACAAACTGTTTATTGCCAATGCCACATGATAACCTACCACTTTCCAAGAATTTTTTTCTCTGGTATGAATCAAGCAAATTGGCAGTGATTATAGGTAAACAATGTAAAAGGCTGTTTAAGCCACTTACTTTCCACTAATTGAGTCTGATTTATTACCAAACCAACATAATGACTAATAAATATAAAGGATCAAGTTAGAATAAAGAATACCATTTCAAATAATTATCCTTCCTATCAAAGTTGAGAAATTAATGCATATAAGTCCACTGTTTGGCCCTGAATAATATATCACAGCAAATTTATCTAGAAGCCAAAGCAGTGATTTTGCTCTCCGGCTGCTGAGTTTAGTCAATTTAAAAAATATATTCCGGAGGAAAACAGATTGTGTAAGCTTTGTAATTAGAGTGAAACGGAAGGCGAGTCCCAGTTTCTTTAACACACCACAAATTAGGATGATTTGACAAAATTAATTTTCCATGACTTTAAAATATTCTGAAGTACAGACAGGTATAAAAAAGATTGCTTGTATGATTTTGACATTCAAGTCCCTAACTAGAGAAGGAAGAGGCTCAATAAATTAACTACTGATGATTCATGTATGATAGTATCTGCTTTCAGTGTACTGTACCTAAACTGTACATGGTGCAGTTATTACTTATTGAAACAGAAGGACTATCATTACTGTATGATTCATATTCCTCTCCATTGTGTGCCCACGACCCGCTATAGCCATTTTGGCCTGCTGGGTGAAATTGGGATTTGATTCCCCACACGACCACCACCCACATCTACCTATGTAACGTAATGATAACAGCAAATATTTTTCCATTGCTACTGGGCTACCTGCTACCATACATTAGTAGTCACTTTAATGATTAAACAAGCCTTGTTATATAATGACACTATCATAAATACAAATAATAATACAAAAGCACACCATGCTGCAGTATTGTTTCGCCCGTTTGTGCTATTGGTTGTAAAATTAAAACTAGATGTTTTCACAAGATATCCTAGGTGCATAACCACAGCAAAAACAGATCCTTCTAGCCTGTTATGGTGGATTGCCAGTCGGCCTGGTGGGTGTCATGATATATCATGAAGAAATTAAACTGTGTAGATATAAATTATATTACATTTTAGTCAAATATAAATGATACAATGCTTTTATCAAGTGTTATAGCTGCATAAATACTAAAAACAAGTCATTGTAGCTATTTGCTGCCTGGTTGCTAGGCAACATATTGCCATCATAATAGCTGATACATTAGATATTATTAGATATTAGATAGGCTCATGAAGGTTCTTATCTAATACCTAAGATGTACCTCTTTGCCAGGTTTGGTTGCTCAACCCCTATAAGGTAGGAGGAGAGAAACTATTTTACACTAACAGAAACATTTCCATGAACTGTGGCAGACTTCATAACTCCACCTGAGGACAACCAATGTGTAACAAATCATTTAATTAAACCTCTGTGTGTGGAACAGGTCACCTGTCTGAGATGCAGAAAGGTACAGATTGCAAATGACTGTCCTGTCTGGAATGATTAATAGTTATGAAGATTATTAATGCTATTGTGCTACATTTAGAAATGGACAACTCTCCTGCTTTGGGTAAAAAAAGAAAAAGAAATAATAATAAAAAGAAGGACATAAAATAGGGATGTTGTAGGAAACGCCCTTATGCTCCAACTATTTAAACTTAGAGGAAACGCTCCTGCAAACGTGCACAAGCAACAAGCACACTAACCTAAGAAACCTCCTGGGGTGTGGTGTTTAGCAGCCAGATGCTGGAGGTTTCTTTTGTGCTAGATGAAAGATTTCATGATAGTGATGGTGGTGTGTGTGTGTGTGTGTGTGTGTGTGTGTGTGTGTGTGTGTGTGTGTGTGTGTACACTGTTCAATTTTGAAAGGGTGAGACTAGTATGGGGTGAGCTGTAGGTCAAGTAAAGGGAGATGGCATTGGTGTAGGTTAAGAGGCCAAGTTTAGTGGTTTGGGTTTCACTAAGTGAAACTACAGGGTACGGTGTAATTGAGGTGTGGCACTGGGTGGTGTTACTTCACAGAGGCGTGGGGACAGAGGCGTGGAGGTTATTGTTACGTGTGACAGCAGGATTTCTGACTTTACTGGTTGCATAATACTTTGACAGGCACTTTCAGTTAAAGAGACAACATTCATATTTAATAGGGACAGAAAAAAATACATACTATTTAAAGGTATGCTGATGTATACAGAATTCACAGTGTACACATTTACTTTAACGTTTATCACTTTCAGTACATGAGTACAGTAAGTGTGAAACTACAGCTAGCAACCATGTCGCGTGAAAACAGAAAACAGAGGGAAAACGCTCCACTGACACTGTCAAGAAAAAAAAAACTCAACTCCCCATCTTACTATTTAGAATGCAAAACATTATACAGAGATTATTTTCTATAAATCTAAGCCCATCTGTGTGCAAGCAAAATTTCATTTTTATAACTTGTAAAAAATGAGTACGGTGGTCTCTGCAAGTACTCTGGCTTCCTTTCACAGTCCTAAGGCATGCATGTTAAGCTAACTGGTAATCTTAAAACTGGTTGTAGGTATGACTGTATGAGTTGTTGTATGTCTCTGCATTATGTCCCATTTATGCTTGACCCATAGGTTGCTTTCCCCAAAATGTGACACAATCACAGAGCTGTATCCATCTATACTCGCCATCACCGCGCTTTTGTCTATTTGCAAACTTCTTCAGCACTGTTATAGAACTCTCCCTCTCGGAGTTCTGTGCTATCTGGGAATCCCTGCACTCCAGCACAGATGTGTCATTTAAATGTCTGCACAGGCACCTTGAGTTCAGCCATTTTGAGGACACCTGTGCCAGCAACGGAAAACGTGCAAGGTTTCAAAAGTTGGAAGGCTGAAATGACACCAACCACACAGGTTGGTGCCTATGATGTCATCATTTGTAATCCGGCACTCTTTGCTTGGGTGAGAATGAGGAATATAAATAGGTTCTTAGGTATGTGGCACGCCCAATGTGCCCTGCCCCTTTTCCTGGGATAACAACAATAGGGTCCAGCCCCAAACAATGGAAGAAAATGGGTGGATGGATAACTTGTAACTGTAATGAAAACCTTGTGAATGTGCTGAAATACGAAAATACTGCAGCATAAAAGTTAAAATCATTTGAATGTTTTGGGGGTGGTAACACTTTTTATAACTCCTCCTATAAGTTTTGAGTTTTACAGGTGCTGGTGGGCAGCTTTATTTCTTTGGACAAAGAAGACTTTCACTTCCTTCCAATATCAAAGTATTTTTGTAACTGCATAAAACACATCAAAATGTAGAGAATGGCTAAAATATATATTCTGAACTAGTTTTCAAAGCTGTTCACACAGATCTTTAAGCATTGCTCAAACAGCCAAGGACATAATCAAAAAAAACAAAACAGTCACACAAACACATTTAAGCGCAGTTTTTACTATGTATCATCTCAGGGAAATTGATTTGTTTTTTAAAAAATAAATTCAAATACTGTTACACCAGAGAGCAGCCACCCCTGAAAAACAGCACACTTGCAAATAAATGCAGACAAACATGAGTATTATGTGTTAAAGGTTGACGCTCAAACAGAGCAGAAGCTCCGAAAGTTCAAAAGGTGCAGCTTCTCATTAAAGTTGTCAGCCCCAATTAGGCATGTTGACCTTGTTTCTTAAATGTTAAGCTGTGATCACGTGTTAGCCTATGTGAGAGTGTCATTGTGTTTACTATGTCAGTGGTCCAACCGAGAGAATGCACAGTGAGATTAAAAGGTGCGCAGGCAGGTAAAAGGATAAGATTATAGCCCTGCAGACATTATGGCTAATCGCCCTGTGAGGTTGTAAACATGCTCCACAGGAGCACATGTGAGCATGTTTATATAAAAGAATAGTTGGGCAGACTCACGTCTTGGTCTCGTTGGCCTCCTTCTGCATGATGTCCAGGATCATGCGACAGGCGGCGGAGCAGCCCTCGGGTGTTGAGTGGATGGTGATGGGTTTTTCAGCTGCACCTGCATTTTCCTTCCGATGAATGTCTACCCTGATAGAAAGAGAGACAGACATATATTGGCATTGTAGTAGGTAGGGCAGGGCAATATGGCCAAATATGGCCAATATTTATCACGATATATATTTGAAAATTTGCGATAACGATATAACTGACGCCAGAAAAAATACTTTACAACTCCACAACTTTATTAGTGCAAAAAAAAAAACAGAAAGAAAAAAGACCAACAATGTTTTTTCACTTAAACAAGCAGCTGTTTTTTTATGCAAATTCCTTGCTGACAGTTTCACCAAAAGGCATTTCCAGTGGAAATGGGCTGACATATCCTGAGCATAACCATGTATAATATCCACAAAACTTAAAAAGAGGTTACACACACACAATATGGTAATATTATGTTGAAGCACAGTACGTATCACTCCGTGAGGCTCTTGACTACAATCCATCAAGCGGTGCGGCTTCGTAGCTTATCAAAGTCTGACAGATTTTCGAGCGCCGTGTACCACATAAAATTGGTTCGAGGTGAGTAAGCACAACCAGAATTCATACATAAGACGCACTGGATTATAACTGTCGATTTTTCAGAAAATCAAAAAGATTTTAAGAGCGACTTATTTTCCGAAAAACACGATAATAACAACGGCCCGCTTGCCTGCTCTACCAAAAATTGTGCTTTGGTGTGTATCTGACCGACAAAAACCAAACCATTTCCACACCACTGAAGTTGCACCATTTTTACAAACCAAATCTGGTTAATCTGTCATTCAACGCTTTCGCCCTTCTTATTGACTATGTGCACGTTAGCATATGCTACTTCCGGTGCGGAAACTCCTGTGGTGAGCTTTGTTTCCGGTGTCCTATTCGCGCCTGGTTTACGGTCCAAAACAAGTTAAGCAAATGAATGAATCACGCGGCGATTTACATTTCTATAGATGTCTTGGGCATTTACCCAATATATCTGTAAATGATGTTCATCGACTTGTCAATATTTTTCCCCCGCGCCTCAGAGCAAAAGAGCAAAGGGATTCAAATGTTATATTTCTCAGCGGTCCCTCATTTATCGCGGGTGTTATGTTCTAAAAATAACCAGCGATAGGTGAAATCAAGTAGCCAATTTTACTTTTTGACGGTGCAAAACGTTTCGTGGACATACAGTACTGCACTTCAGAGTCACACTGCTAGCGATCGATGCAGCGATTCTGTACTGTACAGGAGAGACGTCACGGAGGAGATCGTCTGCAGCGATCAGGACGCAGGACACAATGTGACGTAAAAAAAAAAAAGCATGCAAACTTGCACTAAAAAATCCGTGAAACAGCGAGGTGAAAGGTGAACCGCGTTATAGTGAGGGACCGCTGTAATTTTGAAGGTAAGTCACAACATACCCTTCGTAAATACTAATGTATAGAAACCGTTACCAGCAATCATTCATTTTTTGTGTGGCTTTTTTCACGGTTTGTTAACATGCTGTGTAGGTGTGTACTTGACTAGCTAATATTGACATAACGGGGAAACATTTGGTTTGACTATTCTTCACCTGTAGTTTGAATGCTGAACATTTGCCTGTTTAAATCATAAGACCAGTCATTATACAGAGATACTTCTGAATGTGGACGATGTGTCTTCTGCATGCAGTAATGCAGTTCTGCTTGTGTTGAGTGATGTAAACAACTGATCGATCTAAACGCTTTAAATGTCAAAATTGATCATTCGATTTTTTTATGACACAACAGCGGTTAGTGTTCCCACCTTCTGCTCTTTGTAACTTAACGCAATCTTTCCGTTTTCGAGTTTTGGACATGATTTTGGAGTATATCTTCGCAGTAGCGATTGACCGCAAAGTAAAGCTACCGGAAATGCACAACCCCACATCCGGTCTCAAACCAGGAAGTTAGCATTTTCTCGTGCACATAGTCAATTCTCCGTCACTGCCATGCTTTTTCCACCACGTGCGTATGAAAACAAAGGGACTGCGCATGCGCGTTTTACCCATTTCTATCGTGATATTTCATTTTATTATCATTGCCTAACATTATACCGGTGTTACTGTGAACGGTATGATATGGCCCAGCCCTACATTATGAAGAAGATGATGAAGAAGAAGAAGCAGCAGCAGCAGAGGTACATGCTGCTGCTGCTACATGCTAACCCAAAAAATAAAAGAAAGGTTAAACTCCAGCAGGGTGAGGTGCTGTTGCTTACTTTGACTGCGTCTGTTTGGTGACATCCTTGATGGTGTTGCCTTCCTTGCCGATGATGGCTCCCACAAACTGAGTAGGCACGAGCATGCGCAGTGGGAAGTCGTGTTGTCTGGGGCGTGGAGATCCGTAGCCTCCTGATGGCCCGGGCTGAGAGGAGCCCTGGTCCCGGGAAGTCCGACCCCCACGACGCGTGCGGGGAGCCTGGACAGGTGGAGCAGCATCCGTGTCCATGATATATGACACCTTGAAGGAGTAGTCGTCGAACTGGTGTCCTGTCAACTTCTCGATGGCTCTGGGTGGTAGTAGGAATGTAGAAGCAGAAGTATCAGGAAGAGAGAGGGGAAATAAATGAACAGATGCACTAACACAAGAATATCAGAATACAGGTTCTCTGACAGTTTGACTGATTAATTTCATAAGCCTCTGATATACTTGCTTGTAAACACGTTTTTTACACATGATGACTACCTCAGCCGAGCAAAAGTCACCAAAGCGGCAAATTACACCTGACATCTGATTATTGGTGGACAAACATTAAATATAATTTGATTTCATGCATCATTCACTGCGCTTTTTCATGGGAAATGCAAAAAAATTAAAATGCAAGATCACACAGCAAGCTTCTCAACTCTAGCTCACCACACACCCACCGGCAGTGACCTGGTGAGCTTACATCACATTATTTTCCTTCAAAAAAAATTTTTCCCCTCATAAACACACCAACACAATGCTTTGAAACACATCTACTCTGTTTTCACAAGGCTAAAAAAGTTGGGAAAATGTGACCTAGGTGTTCGATGGACAGCTAATGGAGAGAACAAACATGTTTGCCTTCTACCTTTTAATCCTGTCTTTTTCTACAGTATAGTAACCTCCTCCAAGCTTACATGTGTTTGTGTAAAAAGAAAAATCAGTTCACAAGGAGTTTGTTACTGTGTGGGCCACAGATGAACCAACCCTGCTCTAACCTTTATGGATACACATTTGAAACCGCCTGGTACAAAGAAAAATATACGAACAGCAGGACCAATACTCCTTGTATTGCAGCTTCTTGTCTGTGCAAGTATATCATGAGTTTTGCTCTACTTTCATGCATCAGTGTCACTATTATGTGCTGCTTACACTTTAGCTTCCTCCTTGGTTGCGTATGTAACATTCACCACTGCTGTTTCTGTATCAGTGTTCACTGCAAAACAAGACAGAAAGAGAAGGACATGAAGAAAAAAAAAAAGAAAAAAAAAGATGACACACAGTAAACAGAGATTCGGTCACATGCACATAGCAGTTCTTTGTTGTTCCCGTAGGTGAGTCAGAGACGCATTCAGGTTCCCGTGGTGACCCAGAGTAGGGCTGCTCGATTATGGCAAAAATGATAATCACGATTATTTTCACTGAAATTGAGATC